TCACCCTCTCTCTCCCTCACACTCACCCTCTCACACTCACTCTCTCCCTCACCCACCCTCTCTCTCCCTCACCCCCTCACCCTCTCCCTCCTCACCTGGTTGACCATCTGGTGCTGCTGCACTGTTCTCTTCTCCCTGAACTCCTCAGACTCCACGTGAACCTCGTACATGGCGCCGCAGCCGCCTGGGAGGGAAACGCAGGCACTGAAGGGCCCTCATGGCCCCACCTGAGCCTTCCCAGCCCCAGGATCAAGTTTCTCCCCCTCACAAAGCACAGGGACATTCTGGGAAGGAGGAATGGAAATCACTTGGGAGTAGTGGGTCCAGTCCTGGGCTCCCCAGTTCCAGAGGGACAGGGATTTACTGGAGAGAGTCCAATGGAGGCTACAAGGATGATGAAGGGACTGGAACATCTGTCTGATGAGGAAAGGCTGAGAGACCTGGGGCTGTTCAGTCTGGAGAGAAGACTGAGGGGGGATCTAATTAATGTCTATAAATACATGAGGGCAGCAAGAAGGGAGGGACAAGTTCTTGTCATTTGTGCCCTGGAACAGGAGAAGGGGCAATGGACTCAAACTGGAGCACAGAAGTTTCACCTCAACATGAGGAAGAACTTGTGTCCTGTGAGGGTGACAGAGCCCTGGGACAGGCTGCCCAGAGAGGCTGTGGAGGCTCCTTCTCTGGAGACATCCCAACCCACCTGGATTTGTTTCTGAGTGACCTGCCCTAGTTTTGTTCCTGCTCTGGCAGGGGGGTTGGACTCGATGATCTTTGGGGGTCCCTTCCCAACCCTGACCATCCTGTGAGTCCAGGAGCTTTTCCCGCACCTGAAATATCCACCACGCGGATGCGGGAGGCGCGCGGGAACTTCTCCCGCAGGACGCGGCTCACCCGGGCCTCCCCGTCCGTCTGTGCCGAGAAACTCCGCAGGGAAAGGAGGAGCTGGGGGGGCGGGAACCGGGGGGTGAACCCGCGGGAAACCCCCCCGGACACGGGCTGGGGGCTCGGAGGGGAACGGGGAGGG